AGGGTGTGGGTGGGTGTGGGTGTGGGTGTGGGTGTGGGTGTGGGTGTGGGTGGGTGTGGGTGTGGGTGTGCGTATGTGGAGATGTGTTTTCACTGTTACCCACACCCACCCACACCCGCGCCCACACCCACACCCCCACCCACCCACACGACGGCTGTGAGGTCCAGTCAAGAAGTATACTTGATTATTTGTTTATTGAAAAATGAAATGACACATCATTTCAGCAGTGTTCAAGAATTAAGAAATATGAATTTCTAAACTGGCGGAGAACTACCAACAGAATGACGATAGTTCTCATGAAGTTCCGGAATTGATTCGCAATGGTTGCTGTAGAGCATTTCCTACGCTATTTTTCACATAGAATATTTACTTTTACATAGTTCTTTGCGGATGTAGGTGTGAGTACGAGAATGTCATAGATGATACATTATTTTTATGTTGTGAATCAGGAAAGTTTGAATAGATTGAGTAGAAATTTCGATTTCTCAGTCTTTAGATACTTTTATTTTTTTTATGAGAATATATATGGAGAAATTCTATGAGGTTTGTTCCGTTGACAGTGGAATAAAAACAGGAAATAGCACGTATATAAATGTAGCTGTGATGTTGCTGTTTCTAATATCATCACGATTGACATGTTATGCAAATAAAAGAAAAAAAGTCGCTCTTGTTCAACTGAAGGTCTGCTGACTATTCAGAATGATGCTGGTGTATTCTCTGTTACTACTATTCACTATTTTCTACTTTGATGCATCTTCTTCATTGATCTTGGAACATACACTGAATAGGAATCAATCATATAAGGACTGTTTCCGCTTACCAAATGCGTTAAACAAGTTAGATGATCATCTGCATTTTTGTCTTCGTACAGATGATCAACAGACTGTCTCACAATCCGATACTTGTTATAAAAGCAATCAGATCACGTTTGAGCAGCTGAAAGAAGCCAGCGTGAATGTTAGTGATTTATTCCTATGGCAGATACCAGTGGATATTGTCGATATTTACAGTGCATTCTTGAAGGGTACGATTCTTGATAATCAAGTTCAATATATTTGTAATTGTTCATCTTCCACTACCTTTGGTCGTTATTGTGAATATTCGTTTGAAGAAGGTATTGGTACAATAGAAGACCTGTTCAACTCGTCCAGTAACGGAAAGAAAACATTGTATCCAGTGAAACGTTTATTACCATGTTATGACCTGATCAACAACAAAGAACGATGCATCGATTATCGAGATATCTGCGATGGAGAATGGGATACGAAGAGTGGTGAGGATGAACTTCATTGCGAACTGATTGAAATAAACACCTGCGCTGATCATGAATTTCGATGTCGTACTGGCCTATGTATTGATCGTGAATTTTTATTCGATGGTCAAGCTGATTGTCCTGATCTAAGTGATGAACAACGAAATCTTCTCTTTGAAAGATATGGTGACTTTCGACATTGCTACGAACAAGCCACTTTTGATTGTGATGAACGTTGGTGTGGACGTGAATGGTTATCTTGTGGCGACGGCGAGTGTATTGCCTGGAATCGACGATTTTGGAATGGATTTGACTGTAGTAATTCTTATACACATGTGTACAACTGTGAATTGGAAGAACGTCATGGAAAAAGCATTGAATTTTGTCTTACGGATGACAATGGTCGATGTCAGCCAAACATTATCGAATCGAATACAATTGATGATCGTTGTAGGACGGTGATCAAATGTGCTTTGACTTTGCATCCCACTTGCACCACACTCGGTATGCTTTTTAAGACATATGAGAAAGCCATTAGTCAGATCCATATTTTATGCCAAAATCGAACTCAAATTGTTTACGCATCGGGTATTCATTTTTTGTCACCTTTTATCCGTGCACATTACACGATTCGTCAATTTCAAACAAGTAATAGCGATTTTTTTGCTTTGATGAAAATGCGTCAACCTGGACAATTTTGTTTAGTTGGGGAATATACTTGTCAAGGTGTTAAAGTAATCCAAAATGGAACAATATGCTTTGATTACGATGAAATATTTGAGAGAAACTATCCATTTTCTCCTTACGAATTTATCTTTTGTCAATCGATTCATCCCTCAAGCGATTATTGTACAAACACCAGTTTCTTCTATCATTGTCAAAGATCAGGAGAATGTATCTCTAAACATCGCCTCTTTGACGGATTTCCTGATTGTATCGATTCGTCTGATGAAGAGGATTGGCAAACATTTCGTTCATTGTCACCATCATTTTTGAAAGATCGATACTATTGTTCGATCAATGGTGTCAGATCGTCAGCAGTCATGCGCTATTTTCTCGGTAAATATTTCTCGATTTCGATTCTGTTGTCAATTGCATAGTCATTTAACATTTTTATTTGCAGGAGATGGATGGAGTCAGTGTCCCAATGGAACGGACGAGATGAGTCTTTCTGTGAATTGGCAACAGAAAAAATGTCGGCAGCCTGAAGATTTGGCCTGTTCTATTTTACGTGGTTTATATGATACGGACAACGAAAAACAGTCGACATATATTTTACCATTTGCAAGTTTATGTGATTCGATTTGGGATTTAAGAAATGGCTCCGATGAGACAGATTGCGAAGAATGGGTATGCGAAGACGGTTGGATCAAACAGTACACAAAGAACAGTCGATGGAGTGGAAATTGCATCAATCCACAATGGAAATGTAATCACGCCTGGGATTATGCAGATGGGAGTGATGAATTTCATTGTAATGGAACGGACAAATATCCTGTGCCGGAATGTCTTCTGTTGGCCACAGGTCAACGAATTCGATTGAATGAAAGTAATGAAATTGCTGGTAATGGAAAGGTTGAATGTTCTGGTGGAATTGACGAGCGTGTGACATTTGCTTGTACCGAAGGCTTTCCGCTGAATGAACGATTTTTGTGCAACGATCAAGCGAAATGTCTTCCTCCAAAACTTCTCTGTGATCATGTTCCCGACTGTTCTGAGGGTGAAGATGAGTCTGAATTTTGGTGTGGAGCAGGTTTTCCCTCGATGACAAATACATGTGCTGCGCGTACTTTTGCTTGTCAGGAGCGAAATGATTCTGGTCCGTGTATCCCGAACGAAAATCGATGTAATACTGGAAATATTGATTGTCAAATCTCCTCTCGCGATGAAATGATGTGTATCAAAGCACGTGATGAACCACCTATCAAATCTAGACCATTTATGCTACCCACATTACCACGTACTTTTCACACTGGTATCTCTCCATGGTACTGTGATCGGGGTTTAGTCGTCTTTCGTTACAATCAATTAGCGTGTCTTTGTCCTCCTAGTTTTTTTGGCCAGCGATGTGAAAAACATAGTCACCGATTGACAGTGGTTTTCACAGTGAAGATCGATGATCCGATTAACACGGATGTCCTTCGCATTAGTCTTGTGTTAATAAAAGCGAATCAAAGTATTGATCACATGGTCGTCACTCAGCATCTATCCTTCACTGGCAAACATCGACTCTATCTAAACTATCCTCGATCTTTGTATAGTGATTTACGACAATTGTCAAACAACTATCGAGTGCAATTTCGTTTGTACGCAGCCAATACCAGTTTCGTAGAACTCTTGTCTCTCAAGGAATATCCTGTAAAATTCTCCTTTCACCCTGCATTTCGTCTGGCCGTTGTCTTGCGATACGAAGAAAGTAGGCGCATGTGCGGAAATTTCGATGAAGATGGATTGGAACTTCCTACTCCCTGTGCACCCGGTAGCCATCGATTAAGATTTAATGGTGAGCATCTTGCTTGCGTTTGTCCGTCCGAACATTATGGACCCACTTGTCATCTGAAAAGCCAATCTTGTCAAGTGCATTTCTGCCAAAACGAAGGCACTTGTATCTCGTATACAAATGATTTTCATCAGACCGAATTTCGTTGTTCATGTTCAGAAAATCATTTTGGAGAACAATGTGAATACACCAAGGCATCGTTGTTATTGAGTTTTAGTAATAAAACTGTTCAATCGTCATCGATATATATTGTTCAATTGATTGATTATGATTCGACGAAAATGCAATTTCACATCAAACGTCAACATCTAATGCTACGCCATATTGAACATTTATTTTATGACGATTTTCAACTTCCTCCTATTGGATTAGTAAAAGTGCATGAAACTGACCAGACACAAGTCTATCTAATGTATCTTGGTCATAATTATTCGAAATTGCATTTAGAAGAGCAGAATAAAGTGAGATGTGCTCATGTGAAAGAATTCAATTTAATTCCGAAGAATTATTCTACGGCAGCATTATTATCTGTAATGAAGCGATATCATCGACCGTGTCAAATGTCAAACAATCAGAGCATTCTCTGTTTTTATGACCCTCTGATCTATTTTTGTTTTTGTAATACAACAATACGACGATCAGTATGTTTCTTCTATGATTTTGAATTTGATCGTTGTGATCATTGTCTGAATGGGGGACAATGCTATGCTGGTGAACAAAAAAGTAATAGAAAAGATTTTCTTTGTCGCTGTCCAACATGTGTGTATGGTTCATTGTGTGAACTCCGTATGGATCGTTTGAGTTTCTCCTTTGAATCATTGTTAATGTTAGATACCAATCAACCTCATTCAACCTATACTATTTGGATCTATGTAACCATCACTGCATTTATGGCAATAATGGGTCTATTGAGCAATCTTTTCACTCATTTGAATTTAGTTTCGAATCAGAGTAGTCTCACAATTATTCCTCGCTATATTCGTTTAACAGCATTTACTAATCAAATGACATTGACCTGTCTTCTACTACAAATTCTTTATGTGATTCTAAATCAATATCAGATTTTGAATCACTCACGAATCAATACAATACTCTGTAGATCAGCGTCTTATCTTTTGAATTGCTTTGCTTATACAAGTAAATGTTATACTACTCTTTTGTCTATCAATCGTGCTTGGAGTGTTCGTCAACTACGTATTATTCGAATGTATTCTTCTAGGCAATTAATTTGGCCAGTGGTAATCGTCGTGATCATTTTTATCTTAAACGGAACGGAAGTTATGTTTCATCGTCTTATTAATGATCCGCGCAGATCAAACCGTCTCATATGTACAGTTGAATATACTGAGTCAATCTGGCGTATTACAGAAATGGTCTTTCGTTTTATAATTCATCTCTTACCATTCATTCTGAATATGTTTGCGGTAACGATCATTATACGCACAATCGCTCAAAGTAAAGCGAACATTCATCAATCAAGATTTGTCTCGGAGATTTGGAAACAAATCAAACAATATCATGAACAATTATTCTGTCCAGTTCTGATGATCATTTGTTCAACACCACAACTCTTGATGACGATGATTATGAAATGTTTTCAATGGGATAATGTTCATTATCGAACATTGATGATTGTCATGCATTTTATCTCTTTTATTCCACAAGTGTTTACATACTATCTCTTCGTCCATTCATCAAAAACTTACAAAAAATCTCTTGCCACTACCCAGCTTCATCAAATACTTTCGACTACTGATCGCTATTCCTAATTTCGCGTCACTTAGTTTGCAATCCATTCTTGCTTTCAATCTTCGAAATAAAAATTTCATAGCATCATGACCATGCAATCTGTGATGATGTTATTTGTTGCACTAAAATATCTAGTTTTATTGAGATCAGATATTCGTTAATTTTTTCGAAAATGATACATTTGATCGCTTGTTATTTAAGTGTCGAATTCTGCCACTAAAGTTTATTCTTGACAGGGTGTGGATGCAGGTTTGAGTATGGATGTGTGAACAGAAGTCTTCTTTTCTCAGAAATATTCGCACTCACACTCCCACCGACACCCATACTCTCAAACACATAAGATATATTAAATGTTATTTTATTCGTGTGTTGCAGGAATTAATTATTTTTTATTCAACTATGATAATCAAATAAAATACATCTCCAATGACTAACTAATCTCTAGAAAACTAGATACACATCAATAATAGCAACAATTCAGGAAAAGAAAGTATATATTTTATCTTATTAAGTAAAGTACCATGCTATTCCTCTACATGATACTCCTTTTGTATGTGAACAGTTTTTGTTATATTTTTGAATACCCACAATAATCAAAATAAGGAAAATAATGAGTAAGATAATAATAAGAGTAGGTACACCATAGCGGACGATGCATTCTTCAGTACAACAATTTTCTCTTGTTTGAGACGTTTTTAAATTTTGTTCAGTAGTTTCAGATGTTGGTTTTCCACTCTCATCAATTAATGATAAAGTAACTTGTTGATTTTTAACGTCGTCGCACATTTGTACGAATAATGTCAGCCTTGAGAACATGTTAAAATGAAAAATTTATACAACTGACTAATGAATACTCATATTACTTGGTGAATATTTACATAGATATTTTATATAATGATCTGTAGTTATGCTTTTACTGTATTCTCTCGTTCCAGTCACGTTATTATGATTCTAAGTATTAATTAATTCAAATTCCATAACTACATTTGTTATTCATTATATTTTGTGACTAATTCATTCTTAAGAGAGGTGTGTATTCTTTACTATCTAACGTTTTTCTGTTCGTTAAATATCGTTAATCCTAGACATTGTACATGTTTTTACATACACTGTCTCAAAAAGATATTTCATCTTAAAACAATATATTCTCTTGCAAAGTTTAACTAAATTATTTTAATACGAACAAAAAACTTCGATTTGTTCGTTTCACTCATCAATGTATATGTCGTATCAAAGT